GTCTCAAACACATGGCCCTTGGGGTTATTTTCTGCGGCTTGTGAGCTCCTCGTGGTCCCCCACCCTCCCCCAGCATTTACCTAGAGTGGCTCCGGCCCGACGCGCACCGGGAAGCAGCCGGAACCTGGGGAAGGAGGGACGCAGGGGTGTGTGTGGCTGTTGCTTCAGGCACCTCCCCCAGCAGCTCCCATTGGCCGTGGTTCCCCATTCCTGGCCAATGGGAGCTGCTGGGGGCGGTGCCTGAAGCAACAGCCACACACACCCCTGCGCCCCTCCTTCCCCAGGTTCCGGCCGCTTCCTGGAGTGGCGTGGGGGCAGGGCAGGCAGGCAGGCAGGGAGCCTGGCCTGCCCCCAGTGCACGTCGGGCCAGAGCCCGCCCCCCGAACACATCCTGCAGCCGAACCCCCTGCCCTGAGCCCCTTGCCGCACCCCACACCCCTCCTGCACCCCGACCCCTGCCCTGAACCCCCTGCTGCACCCCGCACCCCTCCTGCACCCCGACCCTCTTCCCTGAGTCCCCTGCCGCACGCTGCACCCCAACCCCCTGCCCTGACCCCCTGCCGCACCCCTTACCCCTCCTGCACTCCCTGGGGGCAGGGAGGGGGTGGAGTTGGGGTGGGGATTTCGGGGAAGGGGTTGGAATGGGGGCAGGGAAGAGGTGGGGCAAGGGCAGGGCCTCATGGAAGGGGTGGAGTGGGAGCGGGGCCGAGGGCGGCGGGGGGGAGGTGTCAGTAAATGCGGCCCTTGGGCCAATATACTAGTCCTCATGTGGCCCAAGGGCCGCATTTGAGTTTGAGACCCCTGGTATAGACAGAATCATATTATAAAAAGGGGAAGCCCAGAACAGGAAAATTGAGCTCCCTATGGGAGACTTCAACAGGAACCCTCCCGCTACTGATGATCAAGCCATGGGAGACCCATCAGACCCTAACAGTATTGTTAAGGATGGGAGTATAACTATATTTGCAACTTGTGCATAGGTCTGTATAGAATTTCTATATGCTTGGTTAATTATAACTTTCATTGTAACTTTATTAAAACTTGTAAAATAGACTAGACTTTGTACTGGTGAATGTATGTGTGGTCACTACCCTTGGTCTTTGTGTGCTCCTAGAAACTCACTCTAAAGAAAGTAGCAGAGGTGACTTTCACTCTGTTAAGCTTGAAACTGTAGTCGCCAGAGCCAAACCCACAGTGGTGTAACACCACATTACAGAATTCAGTTTAAATAAAATAAAAGGCTACACCATTCTGTGCAAACTTCCTCTGATTGGGAAAAAGGGGTCCTAAAATGTTTTATCTATTAACATTAGAAATAGCCAAACTGAAAGGTAGGGTGATGCATCAGAAAGAAAAAGAAAGATTTGTATGAGTAATAAATTGTGAATCCTGCGAGGGGAGAGATTTCTGCTAAAGAATCAGAAGGAAGATCAGTTGAATCTTGTGCTGTGCCCCTACTTACAGAACTCGAAAGACTTTATCCAGCCCATAATTAGATCAAACCAGCTATGTATGTTTCCAAGGCACCCATCACAGTTATATCTAGGATCACATGTAAGTAAGAGTCCATTCCAAACTATGCACTGATGCATTCTATGAAGCAGAACAGAACTACTATTTATTTTTAAATGCAGACTCGATCTTGCAATTCCTACTTTACACTAACCAGCACTGACAGCTACAGTCAACAGAATACTGTTGTTAGAAGAAACTGGGTTTGGACAAAAGAAAATGAAAGTTTGGAATTATAACTATACATGGAAAGACACATCATAGTACAATAATATGGTAAAAAGTCTTAACTATTGTATGTTTAATTTTAATAGACTGGTTCCTTTTGTTTTGCATCAGCTTCTTTATTCTGCACTGGTAAGGTAAGCCTAACCAATTTTGTTGCCAGTTTCAGATTATAATTTAATGAGATGTATCAGTTTCAAGAGCCTCATCAACTGGTCCAATTGAAAAGACCGATGTAAATTGAAGAAGTTATAGTTTTATAAGAATGGTAAAGACATTTACTGTCTTCAAGCTTCAAAAGATACCTTTCCCAACTTCCTTTTTAGAATGATGTAACCTCACTACTATTTGTGTGGCTACCTCTGGGAGTTCATTTATTTTCAAAATTAAAACATCAGACTCAAGTGGGGAAACACACACACACACACGCACACTGTGTTGCAATGAATGAGTTCAGAAGTGATTTCAGTACATAGAAAACTATGTTTTGTAACAGAAAAACTATCCACTTGTCATAGCTATTTCTGTCCACTTCCTTGTATCCAGTTCTCGGACAACAAAATGTAATTGCTTTTTAAAACAAGCCATGAGTACTGAAAATACAGTGTAACACATTGGTGAGTGCATTACCCATCCCCCTCTGTACCCAGTCCACAGAGGATACAAATCTGTTACCGCCCAGCTAGAAAGACTTAGCTACATAGCTCAAGGTGGAACTACTTGTGCTTTTAGCTCTGTAGATCCAATACAGTAACTGTAATATTATACTACCAAGGGTAATTTGATTAACAATCCCTTTCTGGGCAGAGGATAAATTTCTATACAAATTAAGTCAGACTGCACTGTATAGGATGTTCCCATTGCAGTAACAAATATGTCATTGCCAAACTGCAGGGCTGCAGTGGCGAACCAACTTTGGCAAATGAACAGGTGCTATTCCAGTGAATCAAGGTCTCTCAGACTAAAGCAGCCAAGCGTTCGCACCAAAGTCTGAGTGTTTTTATTTGATCCTCTACTTATGTGTTTCTCAGCCTTCTCTGGTTGGTGACCCCTTATTCAAAGTCAACAAATTGGACAATCCCCTTATAGTTACTATTAAAGCAAGAGTAACAAATATTTTTTTTAAAAAAGGTATCAGTGATAATCAGAAGCCTACCTAATTTTTGTATGTGTGTGAGGCTGATAGAGAGTACCTGACCTTGAAGGGTAAAGAGTGTGTAAGAGCAAGATATTCTTTGCTATCTACTGTAATAAAACTCAATGCCTTCTGACCTCCTGGGGGGAGGTTGCAATCCACTGGATGAGAAACACTGCTCTATATTAACCTGTAACTAGGGGCTAGATTTCTGTATCCATTGAATGGTACCTCACTCTACAAGTAGTCCCACTGAAGTCAGGGGAACTAACTGAAGTTGACTGCTACTATATTGCAGTAAGGGTATCAGACTCTGTCCCTTAAGAACATAAGAACATACTGGGTCAGACCAAAGGTCCATCTAGCCCAGTATCCTGTCTTCCAACAGTGCCGAATGCCAGGTGCCCCAGAGGGAATGAACAGAACAAATAATCATCAAGCGATCCATCCCGTCGCCCATTCCCAGCTTCTGGCAAACAGAGGCCAGGGACACCATCCCTGGTCATCCTGGCTAATAGCCATTGATGGACGTATCCTTCATGAATTTATCAAGTTCTTTTTTTTAACCCTGTTACAGTCTTGTCCTTTACAACATCCTCTAGCAAGGAGCGACTCTTTTAAACTGAATGCACAGCAAGGGGTTAACATCTACAGTGGGGAGGAAAATTGCTGCAGCTTATTCAGCAAGGACCCAATCCTGCGCCAATTGAAGTCTTGACACTGACTCCAATACAAGCAGGATCAAACCTCAGTGGTGTCATTGCCCTGGAGACCTTTCGTGTCGTTAATAGAATCATAGAGTTTAAGGCCAGAAGGGATCACCTGATGATCATCTAGTCCAGTAGTTCTTAAACTGTGGGTCAGGACCCCAAAGTGGGCCGTGATCCCGTTTTAATAGGGTCACTGAGGCTGGTGTTAGACTTACTGGAGCCTGGGGCTGAAACCAAAGTCCAAGCCCCGCCACCCAGGGCTTCAGTCTTTGGCTTTTGCCCCCCACCCAGGGCTGAAGCCTTCAAGCTCTGGCTTTGGCCCTCCTCCTGGCTTTGCCCTCCGCCCCGGGCAGTGGGGCTCGGGCTTCAGCTTTCGCCCTCCCGCTCATGGCAATGGGGATCAGGCTTCAGTCCCCCTTCCCGGAGTCATGTAGTAATTTTTGTTGTCAGAAGGGGGTCGCAGTGGAATGAAGTTTGAGAACCCCTGATCTAGTCTGACCTCGTGTATAGCACAGGCTACCAACAGCACATAGCACCAGCACGGATCTACATTTCCATGTTAGCTCCTAGTCTAAAAGAGGCAGAACATTTCACTGAGCGTATAGGATACAGAGGTTTTTTGGTCTATCTAAGTTAATAGCAAGGTTTAGAAGCTTTTAAAATTTAACAGAGTTCAGATAATCTGTCCTACCTGTTTCATGGAGGCCTTAATCCAATTTTTTAAATTATATTTTGCATGTGTTTACATCTTTCTGTGAACTAGAGAATGAACTTTATAGCACGTACGTTTTCATATGAAGCTCAGTACTACTCCATATTATTTGACTTGTAAAATATCCTGGTGTACATTGACCTCTAAATTTCTGCTCTCCCTCCCTCTCTAGACATATAGAGAAGGAGAGAGAGTGTAAAATATAATGAACTTCTAAACCACTGAAAATAGCAATAGAAATCACCTTTCCACAACAAGATAGCGCTCAGATCCCTACATGGTCTTGAGAGCCTGGTAAACTTTACTGATTGTTGTTGACAACAACGCTATAAACCTGCCCTTCTTCAATAACATTTCCTTATCACTGATGGTCCGAACTTTCCCCATTAGCCCAATTTATTCCTTTCGCTTCCTCATGGGTCAATAGGTCCAAAGGTTAGCAAAGCAGCGTTTAGATGGTTGCCTTGGTGTGGCACGAACTGGAATGACACAGTCTAAAGTTAACAGCTTGGACAGAGCTTTCACCCCAGCGTTCTAGAGCGGGTCTCCTTCCCCGACACAGTAAGGTCAGAGCCAACTCTGCTGCCACCACCTATCCCCAGAGGGGATGCAACGGCCATACAGTTAATACCAGATCTCCCCCCCCCGAATAGCGTTGGGGGGAGAGAGCGGAGGAGAGAGGCAGAGAGAAGCTTCTGTAACTTACCCAGGAGGTGGGCTGGGATCCGCTCTCCGGCCTGCACCGTGCAGAGGGAGGGATGGATGATCCGAGCCCCCCGGCTGGCTGGGCAGAGCAGAGTGCGCGCTTCTCACGCATCTGCAGAGCCGCTACTCCCGGAAATCCAGCAGGACTTGCTGGCCGCTCGCACCTCCCGGGGGCGGGGAGGGGGCGAATCGCTCCGCTGGCTAGCAGGCGGGAGCTTTGCTCGGGACGTCCGAGGCGGGCGCTTTGCTCGGGTGGGTGGCTGCGCTCTGCAGCCGGGCCCCCTGGCTCCTGCCGCGCGGAATTGCGCTTCTCGCCGAGTGAGAGGCGCTCAGCCTTACCGCGGAGCTGCCCGGCACAGGGTTAGGGCGCGATCAGTAACCACCCAAAACCCAGCTTAGTTGGGGGACGGGGGAATTCTAACACGGGCTGGAACCCTAGTGTAGACGGGGCTGTTGCTGTTTTAACATGTAGGTGCCCACGTGCTGAGTGGGTACCCTGGCAGGGCAGCGGGCGGGTCTGTAGTCTGGGGCTAGACCAGGGGTGAGCAAACTTTTTGGCCCGACGGCACGTCTGGGTATGAAAATTGTGCAGCGGGCCATGAATGCTCACAAAATTGGGGGCTGGGGTGCGGGCTCTAGGGTGGGGCTGGAGATGAGGGGTTGGGGGTGCAGGAGGGTGCTTTGGACTGGGACTGAGGGGTTCAGAGGGGGATCAGGGCTGGGGCAGGAGGTTGGGGTGCAGGAAGGGGTGCAGGCTCTGGCTGGGGGTGTGGGCTCTATGGTGGGGTGGGGGATGAGGGGTTGGGGGTGCAGGAGGGTGCTTTAGACTGGAACCAAGGGGTTTGGAGGGCAGGAGGGGGATCAGGGCTGGGGCAGGGGGTTGGGGTGAAGGAGGAGGTCAGGGGTGCAGGCTCCAGGCGGCACTTACCTCAAGCAGCTCCCAGAAGCAGCGGCATGTCCTTCCTCAGCTCTGAGCGCTGCCCTGTCTGCAGGTGCTGCCCCTGCAGGTCTCATTGGCTGTGGTTCCTGGCCAATGGGAGCTGCGGGGATGGCGCTTGGGGTGGGGGCAGCGTGTGGAGCCCCTTATCTGCCCCTATGCGTAGGAGCCAGAGGGGGGACATGCCGCTGCTTCTGGGAGCTGTGCGGAGTGGGGCAAGCCCCAGACCCCACTCCCCGGCAGGAGCTCAAGGGCCAGATTAAAATGTCTGGAGGGCCGGATACGGCCCCCGGGCTGTAGTTTGCCCACTCCTGGGCTAGACATAACCGCTGCCAATGTGGCCATGGCCACACACAGCTGCTATGGCGCCAGGGCCTGTCTGTCTAGGTGCTGGGAAGCACCTCCCCGCCACTATGCAGACAGGGGTGTTAAGTACAGTACTTAACACATGTTCGTACACACCCTTTATCCTGAAGACCAGGCCTCTGAGTCTTGGTGCTGGGCCCACTTTGTAATGCCTGGTGCTGGGGTTTATCTTGGCTGTATTTTGTTTTCTGCAGTGATGGGGTTCTCTTTTCTCACCGTCTGAAGGTTTGCTGGCTGATTCTCTAGCTGAAGGGCCAATGCTTGATGCCAAGTATGTTATGTATTTCATGGAGACTTCTGAAATATATTCATATATTTTGATGTATAACATTATACAAAAAAGTGCTTCTGTTAGGTGCCTGTTCCCAGGGTGCTTTCCATAGTATTCAATTAAAAAACTGATCAAGTTTAGCTAAACAGAGGCCCCATGCTTCAGGGATGCAGTAGTGCCTGAAAGAAGCTCACGGCAGGTTGGGGATCATAGTACAATTCTCCCCCTGCTATGACTTATTTTCGCTCTTCCTTTGAAATATCTCTTAAGAATGCCACTAACCCATTACTAAACTGCAGAGACTTACACACTTGCATAACTTTACTGAACATTGTATGTGCATAAGATCATACAGCGAGTCTGGATCAGAATTAGGAAAAGAACTCAGAAGTTCTGAAAAACATTCCTGTATGCATGGCAAAAAGATAGCACGACAGGCACAAAAATAGGTCACGCAAGTCCTAAGGGCTTTACAAAAAAGTGCAGACTTAATTATTGCCTTTAAAAAATTATAATCCAAACAGGTTGAATTGTCTCTTCATTCAAGTTCTGCCTGCTCATGAATGTGTTCTATCCACCATTCCTCACCCACTGATATCAACAGGAGGATTGGCACTGACTTAAATGGGAATGAGTCTTAGGGTTGCCAGGTGTCCAGTTTTTGACCAGAACGCCAGGTCGAAAAGGAACCCTGCAGGCTCCAGTCAGCACTGCTGACCAGGTCATTAAAAATCCAGTTGGAATGGGGCTGACAGGCTCCCTACCTGGCTTTGCATGGCTCCCTGGAAGCAGCAACATGTCCCTGCTGCTCCTAGATGAAGGAACGGCCAGGGGGGCTCCATGCACTGCCCCTGCCCTGCCCTGAGTTCTGGCTCTGCAGCTCCCATTGGCTGGGATCCGCGGCCAATGGAGCTGTGGGGCAGCGCCTGTGGGTGGAGGCAGCACACAGAGCTGCTTGGTCACGCCTCCACCTAGGAGCCAAGGGACATGTCGCCACTTGTGAGGAGCCACCTGAGGTAGGCGTTGCCCAGATCTGGCACCCCGAAACCCCTCCTACACCCCAACCTGCAGCCCTGAGCCCCCTCCTGCACCCCAAATCCCTCATCCCTGTTCTGTGCTGAAGCCCTCACCCGCTCCCACATCCCAACCCCCTGCCCCAGCTTGTGAAAATAAGCAAGCAAGAGAGATGGGGAATGGAGTGGGCAGGGGGCGGGGTCTCAGAGAAGGGGTGGGGCAGGGGTGCAATTAGAAAGTTGGTAACCCTAGAGTAAGATCAGGGCCTAAAAGAGTCAATTTAATAAATCCTGCCTTCTGCCATATACAAATGCATTATAACAGGGTAGTCATTTGGATGGCTGAGCTAAACAAGACAATGAGGGCAAATTTTCCCCTTTCTTCCTTTAAGACTCAAATCCACAAATGTAAACTCTGAGAAGTGGGGCAAAGTAGGTTGAGAGGTGTCTTCTTTAGCTGTTTTTTTTAAATATTATTAAAATCAAAACCTTTTCATCTAAGCTGCCAAGGATTTGAAAATGTTATGTTTCTAAACAGATTAAAATTACAGGTCAGTTTATTTAATACACCTTTTATGAGGCATCAGCTACTTGTATTTTATTCAATTCTGTTTGTTAATATGAATAAATGTGAACATTAATGAGTCTGAAAGCATTCAATAAAGAATTAGAATAAAATACATATTTTACTTGAAATGAATGATCCAATAACATTTGACTGCAAGGCTCTAGCTTACTCAGATACAGACAGCAAAGTTACTTTGGAATAATGGCTCCTACCTGTAGAATTTAGTGCTGGTTCTGTTCTTCATATTATTTGTATAATGGCAGTGCTAGAGGCTCAGCTGAGATCAGGGCTGCAGTGAGCTAGGACTGTACACACACATAGTGAAACACACCCTGTCCCCAAAGAGCTTATAGTCAAAATAGACAAAAAAGGCAAAAGGTAGGGAAACAACTTGTCCAAAGTCAGAAACAGAGCCAGGAGTAGAACCCAGGTTCCCTGAGCCCTGTTCAGTGTCCTATCCACTAGATGCCGCCGTCTCTGTTCTTAAACATGCTATTATTAATTAGGTATATTATCCTAGCCATTAGCCCTTTATGTGAGCATGGCATGAGATGCCCTTTTAACATGCAGAGGACAGGGAGAATTTTTACAAGTACCTTTTGAAAGTCTAAGGAAGAGCTAAGCTCTTTGCTCAACTGGAAAATTGTGACTTCTATAAATATTTGGATGAAAGAATAACCAGCAACCTTGAACAGTCAGTACAGGGTTGCCTGACATACATGATAAACTCTGTGACATGCAGTTCTAAAGGGCTACTGAAGCTTTGTTATTCTGATGGCAGAGGCTTATTTTGGCTGGTTACCAACCTGTTGATGCTTTTACAAGCTTCTGAGATGGTTACGGTGTGTTTATGTTGCATTAGATGCCCTTATTAAATGTACTGTTTCTGAATGAAATTTTAGAGTTATGCCATAAAAATACACCTTTTTTAAGGCCACATTCTTGGCATGACTGTAAAGCACTAGCCTGTAGCTATGTTGTACCACCAAATTAGGAACTGCTGTCACGCTGACCAAACTACATGCTAAAGCAAGGGAGTAGCGGGACTGAATGAAAAAAGGGTGAAGGACTGACCTATGTTGAGAAGTTCACTTGAAAGAATTTGATGTTGTTTTTTTTAAATGTTGTATTGTGAAAGAACCACCAGAGAAAGAATGTCCCTTGAAATTTGGTGGCTGCTGCTGGATGGAGATTCAGCCCTGTGATGACAAAGCACACTGCAACAGGAGAGTCTGTGGTCAGCAGTCATTCAAACTCCTCTTTACTTGAGCCATTGGAGAGAAGTGTGTCGTACCAATAATGTGGAAAAAGCGAGACCACCGATGCTTTTGGAGGCTATGAATCCATGGAGTATCATTTAAAGTGATTTTAGATGCATGGCTTCCCACCTGGCAGAAGGCTGCTGTGATAATTGTAAAAGCTGGACAAAACATTTAAAATTTCTAGGTGTTCCAATAAAAAGGGACAAATTTCCACTAAAATGTGTTCCTTTTCAACCAACTCTATAATTTAAAGAATGATTTTAGAGGGGCATTAACCTGATAATTTTGTGTCATGTGGAAAGTTATGATTTTCTGGGAAGTTCAGAAGGATGGTGTTTTTAATTAGCAGTTGCACTGTTTCTTCCATTCAGGAAATTGTTCTTAGTGCTAAGAAAAGTAACACTTATAGAAAGAAATTCTTTATGATAAGGATGTCATTGGAAGAATCATTATTTAGACTGTAGGCTTTTCAAGGCGGGTACCATCTCTTATTCCATGTTTGCTCAATGCATAGCACAGTGGATTGTTCCTAGCCTCTACCACAGTAAAAATGAATTATTAGGCAACTGTGGCACAAGTAGCCTCTCTAGTGTACTGTGGAGTTAGGACTAGAGCTGGGCAATAGCAGTGAAATCATTTTTCAACAATACCAATAAGAAGCTTCATTTTATGTGATTTCAAACCTCCTGAAATGGATTGGAGATTATCCACAGTCCAACATCTGAAAGGTGATGTGCTGTCAACACCAGGAATCAAACCCAGGATCTCAATGCAGGAGTCTCACTTAAGCTGCAATACAGCTTTGTTAGCTCAGAGCCACCAGGCAGATTCTCAGAAGTCTACTGCCCTACCACAAGAGGGGGCTAAAGAGCCATGCTGTTGTAGTTACAGACATAAAGAGTTGTTTCCATCCATAAGTTTCATCTGTGAAAACACATACTTGTGCAATGCACTTTAAAAAGCTCCAAAAGGAGGAAGAAAACTGCCCCTTGCGAAATATAGTCAGAAGCTCAGCTCTGACAGTCATTTATTATGTGGCCGTGGGCCACTTAAAATACACACTTTTTCCCAGTGCAGAGGCATTAACATGTTTCTCTCAACCAGGTAATGTGT